GAATTAATCGATTGAAAGTAGTCCTCGATTTATGACAGTTTCATTTAGGGACAAATTAATTGATTGAAAGTAGTCCTTGACTTACGACAGTTTCGCTCAGGGACAAATTAATCAATTCAAAGTAGTCCTCATGACAGTTTCACTTAGGAACGAATTATTAATCAATCAAAAGTAGTCCTCGGCTTAACGACAGTTTTGCTTAATAGGGACGAATTAATTAATTAAAAGTAGTACTCAACTTATGACAGTTTCGCTTAGGGATGAATTAATCGATGGAAAGTAGTCCTCGACTTACGACAGTTTCATTTAATAGAGACGAATAAAAATAGTCCTCGACTTACGACAGTTTTGTTTAGGGACGAATTAATGGATGGCAGATAGTCCTCAAATTACAACAGTTTTGTTTAGGGACAAATTAATCTATTAAAAGTAGTCCTTGACTTACGATAGTTTCGTTTAATAGGGACGAATTAATCGATTCAAAGTAGTCCTCAACTTAACGACAGTTTCACTTAGGGATGAATTATTAATTGATTCAAAATAGTCTCAGTTTATGAGAGTTTCATTTAGGAATGAATTCATCGATTGAAAGTAGTCCTCAACTTACAACAGTTTCGTTTAATAGGGACAAATAAAAGACCTCGACTTAACGACAGTTTCGTTTAATAGGGACGAATTAATCAATAAAAAGTAGTCCTCGACCTAATGACAGTTTCATTTAGGGACGAATTAATCAACTCCAGGTAGTCCTTGATTTACAACAGTGACTGTTCCAAGTTGCAACAGAAAGGAAAAAAGGAGACTCCTGGCCGTTTTTCACACTTACGACCATTGCAACCTGCCTGCGGTTACAAGATCGAAATTCAGACGCTTGGCAAATGACTCGTATTTATGACGGTCGCGACATCCTGGGCCCTTCTGAAAAGCAAACTCCATGGGGGGGAGAGGAGTCAGATTCACTTAACGACTGTGTTTACTAACTTAACCACTGCAGAGTTTCACTTCACAAGTGTGGCAAGTCAGGTCGTAAAATAGGGCAAAACTCACTTAACAACGGAAATGATGGGCTCGTTGTGGTCGTAAGTTGAGGACTGCCTGTAATAATCAATAATGGTATTTGGTGGGGGTCACGACGATGATGTACTTGGGGGTGAGTTTGTCTTCCCAGACAAGATAAGCCTCTCCCACTTGAAAGTCTTACAACAACCTGACCAGGTAGGCCAGTGCAGGAAGACATCTTGACCCACTCAGACAAAGAGAGAAAGTTTGGATGGCCAGCTATCCTGGACTCAGGTAGTCCTTGACTTACAACGGTTCGCTTAGCGACCGTTCAAAGTTACAAGAGCCTTGGGAAAAAGCGTCTTGCGATCGGTCCTTGTACTTACGACCGACGTATTGTGATTTGTAACATTCCTAGCCAGCTTCTGACAAGGTCAATGGAGGGAAACCGGATTCGTTCAACCTTATGATTCACTTAACGACCGAAATCATTGGCGAGCCTTCCCAGCCGGTTTCCAAGTCAACGGGAGAAGCCGGTTTCATTTAACCAGCAATGTGATTCGCTTAACAACGCTGACCTGCTTAACAACAGGGGCAAAAGAGATTGCAAAATCAGGAACCGCCTTGCTTAGCAACGGATATCCCGGTCTCCCTGGTGGTCGTAAGCCGAGGACTATCTATAATCACATGGTGGGGGTGGGGGGTAAATCATGCACCAGGGCTTTGGCAGGGAAGCAGATGTGGCACAGGACTCACTTAACAACCGTCTTGCTTAGCAACAGAAATCCCGGTCTCCACGGTGGTCGTAAAGCGAGGACCAGCTGTAATTTTTCTCAATCTTGGCTCAGCGGCCCAGAAAAATGGGACCGCAGTCATTTCTCTCCCCAAGGGTTGGCAGGAGTGTCCTTGCCCCAGCTGTGGGCCCGATCCTTCCAAAATTGAGCACCCTCCAGATGTGAGAAAGAGAACGGAAAGCCGAAAAGCTCGGGCAGAGAAAACTGCTTTTCCAACGCGCAGGAAAATTTATTTGTTTAGTTGTTTTTTTTTAATTCGCAACCTACAAAACAGTTGCCTGGTGGTTATTATACGATGATGATCTCTCTCTGAGTTATTTATTCTAGCTAGGAAGATTGCCCTCCCCCCTTCCCCTCCTCCCCGCGCCATCACTTTCCTCCTGGAAAAAAAGAGTTTATTGCAAAAAATATATAAAATAAATGAGGGGGTTATTTTATTTTATTTTTTTTTGCAAAAAGAGGAACGTTCTTTAAAGTCGGGAGAATCTCAGATTAGGTTGCTTCCACGCGGGCCCGGCTTGTGCGTGTCTCCCCCACCCTCTACCTCCCCCCCCCCAAATCCTGGGAAGAGTGGGGGGGGATGGGGAAAGTCTTGCTTGTCCTTCCTTCCGCGCAGGGAACCCGGGAATGTTGGCTTGCAAGGAGTTAAACCTGGGCTCTTTCCTCCCCCTCCCCTCCTACACCTTCCCTGGTTGGGAATGCACCCCCTCCCCCCCCCGCTGCTCTTAATTGCAGCTTTCCGGTTTCCCTGGCAACGGTGATCGAGGGAGCGAGACAGTCACATGGGGAGAGGAATAAAAAAAAAATAGAACAGCCGGAGGAGCAAATTAAAAAAAAAAAAAAAAAGGTAGGCGAGCGGGCCAAGGTACCTGCTGGGCAGGCGGGGAAAAAACTACGACTCCCAAGCGCCCTTGCGCCGCTCCCGGCCTTTGGCGCAGCTGCCCTTCCTTTCTCCAACCCTCCCCCCCCCCGCTGAACGTCCGAAGGAGGGCTTGAGTCCGTCCCTCTTTGTGTTCGCTTTGCAAAAGCCTCGCCGAGCTGGCGGCCCGGCGAGCCCCTTTGCAAAGGAGGCTGGGAGTTGTAGTCCTCGGCCCCGGGCGGCGCCAACATGGAGCGGGGCTCTGCTCGCCAGGCGCCCGCAGCAGCTCCGGACCCCCAGCCGGGGGAAGGTCGGTGGCCTGCTCCGAGGATGGGCGGAGGGGGCCGGGGCGGAGTCGGAGCAACGGGCAGGAGTGCAATTAATCCGGATTAAGCTAACCGTGAACTCCCCAAGCCTCATTCGAAGCCTTCCCCCCCCCCCCCAGGCCAGGCTGCGCTGCCTTTTGGCTGCCTGTCCGTGCTTAGCCGTGCAAGGCACGCGAAGGTGTCAGTTGCAAAACTCGTGCAGGGAACCAGGAACGTGCAATGCACGCGAAGGTCTCGGGTGTAAAGTTGTGGGGATTTGCTAGCTCAGATCTGGAAGCCATAAAGCCAGGGGTCTTCAAATTTGGCCCTTTGAGGACTTGTGGACTTCGACTCCCAGAATTCCTCAGCCAACGTGCCTGGTTGAGGAATTCTGGGAGTTGAAGTCCACAAGCAGGGGTCTTCAAACTGGGCCCTTTTAGGCCTTGTGGACTTCGACTCCCAGAATTCCTCAGCGAGGTACCCTGGCTGAGGAATTCTGGGAGTTGAAGTCCACAAGCAGGAGTCTTCAAACTGGGCCCTTTTAGGCCTTGTGGACTTCGACTCCCAGAATTCCTCAGCGAGGTACCCTGGCTGAGGAATTCTGGGAGTTGAAGTCCACAAGCAGGGGTCTTCAAACTTAGCCCTTTTAGGCCTTGTGGACTTCGACTCCCAGAATTCCTCAGCGAGGTACCCTGGCTGAGGAATTCTGGGAGTCGAAGTCCACAAGCAGGGGTCTTCAAACTTGGCCCTTTTAGGGGCCAGAATTCCTCAGCCAGCTTCTGGGAGTTGAAGTCCACAAGTCATCAAAGGGCCAGGTTTGAAGACCCCTGCCATAAAGGTTTCTTTTAAGTTTTTCCCCCTGGTCCACTTTAGGTGATGCAGCTTACAAACCATGGTTTGTGCTTCATCAGCTTGTACAGGTGGTCCCCGAGTTACAACCATTCGTTTAGTGACAGCGGTACTGAAAAAAATGATTTACGACCGTTTTTCATACTTACGATCTTTGTACCATCCCTGTGGTCACGTGATTAAAATTCAGCCGCTTGGCAACTGACTCATATTTATGACGGTCGCAGTGTCCCGGGGTTATGCGATCCCCTTTGGCGAACCTCTGACAAGCGAAGTCAGTGGGAGAAGCCAGATTCACTTAATGACCGTATTATTAACTGCAGTGATTCGCTTAACGACTGTGGCAAGGAAGGTTGTAAAATGGGCCCCAAACTCCCTTACCTGTCTTGCTTAGCCACAGAACTTTTGAGCTCAATTGTGGTCGTAAGTCGAGGACTACCTGGATAAATGCATCTCAGGCTGATTTTTTCCTGAAATCATGGCAAGGCAAGCTAGCCTCTCAGAGGCCTGGGTTCAAATCCTCCACTAACCGTGACGTGGAGGGGGCACTGTTGTTCACCAGTGCGGTCTGTCCCACCAACCTTGAGGCTGATTCTGAATATAAAATGGATCTTCAGGTCAAGAAAAGAAAACAAAGCTGTCATTAAATGAAAAATGACCTGTTCCTGAAACAGGAAGGAAGGAGGAGAAACACAGGAAATGCTATTTGGGGAGATTAGAAACCGTTTTTTTCCCCAGTCTAAGCTTTCCTATAGCTGCAATCCTGTAGTGTTTTTAAAAGGTTAAGGCAGTGGAAGATGGTTTCTGTTAGTCAAGCACTCTGATTCTGCTAGGACAGGGGTAGGCAACCTTGGCTCTTTTATGACTCGTGGACTTCAACTCCCAGAATTCCTGAGCCAGCCATGCTGAGGGGAAAGGGAGAGGTTTCCAAGCTGAGCCATGCTGGCTCAGGAATTCTGGGAGTTGAAGTCCACGAGTCATAAAAGAGCCAAGGTTGCCTACCCCTGTGCTAGGAGGTACATCTGAAGCCTAAAAGGGACTTACAAGCTTAAAAGCCCCTACACAATTTTGAATTCAAAGCCCTATCAATGTATTTTAAGATGTTTTTCATCAGCAGGTTCTCCAAAACAGCAAAACCCGCTGAGCAAGTCACAAAGAGCAGAATCCAATTTGTTGCGGGGAAAAAATCGCTTCGATTCTTCACAATTTTGGACCCTTTCTCTTTTTTGTGTGTGCCCCAGATCGGATTTCCGGAGCCATCGAGGTAGAACAGAAATTTCTTTTCGGGCCCAACACCATCGAGAAGTTAGCCGAGCTGGGAGCAATCTTGGAAGGCGGTGTCTCTTTTCGCGACAGCTACTATGACGTCCCCGATTGGTGCTTGACGCGAGCGGATCATTGGCTGCGGGATCGCGAGGGGGTGGGCTGGGAGCTAAAATGTCCCCCGGTTAGGCTGGTGGGAAGCAAGGGGACCCCGTGTGCAGCAGAGACGGATAACCGTCCGTCCTCTCCGGTTTTGCAACCACCGAGGGACACAAGACCATCCCACGCGGCCAGCCAGTACCAAGAAGTGACGTGTCCCCAAAGTATCGTGACGCGCCTCTGTGGTTTATTGGACAGAGACCCAGGACCGAACTGGCGTTCTTGTGTGAACAAAGCAGTAGAAGAACTGGGCTTGCAGGTGTTTGCTAGTTTCGTGACCACGCGGCACAAATACCGTGCGGGGGATTTGCACGTTGATCTGGACACGGCGGATTTTGGCTATGCCGTGGGTGAGGTGGAAGCCGTGGTCCAGCAGTTACAAGATGTCCCTGAAGCTCTGGAGAAGATTCAGAAGTTTTCCAGGCAGCTAGGTAAGGCTGATCTTCTTCAATCTTGTGGGTTTGTGTACGAGCGTGTGGTAAAATTCAATATATTTTTTTTAAATGATTGGCTATCTTTGTCTTAAATTCCTTCTCAGCGTGAGAAAAGGACGTTAGAAAGTTTCAGATTTAAGTTGGTACCACCTTCGTTCATTTCTACTTGGAATTTTGCTCAAATTTTTGTTCTACCTTGTTGATAGAAATAAAACTCTTCTTCTTCTTCCTCTGCTAGGTTTGGGAGAAGAAACCGCCATACCTGGCAAGATGTCGGTGTATTTGCACAGATTCAGACCCGCCCATTACCAGGCCTTGACGGAGACCGGAATTCTGCGGAAAGTGATCAATACAACGGAGGGCCAGGATGGAAAAGTCTGATGGGTCAAGAACCAGGATGGGGGAGAGAGAGTTTTTATCTCCAAACTACGGGACAGTCCAGAATTATCTTATAAATTAAATTAAATTATCTTTACATTTAAAAAAAGCATTTCAAATAAACTCTCCTTTTCCTTCCAAAAATATTGTAAGGAGAGTTTCATTTTTATTTTTATTTTAATTGGGTAATTGATCTCTTCGCCTTTCCTTTAACTGTGTTTCTCAGTACTGGGGAATTCTGGGAGTTGAAGTCCACCCATCTTAAAAGGGGCTAAGATTGAGAAACGCTGCTTCAGCATTTCGTGAGCCTGACCTGACGTCACAGCAGGTGAGCCAATGACTGAAGTGGGGAGGGGCTTACTGGCCGAAAATCACTGGATTATTCTAGAATTCTCTGGGGGTAAAAAAGGTTTGTTCATGATCAGAATTAAACAGCGTGAACCGTGATGGAGATCAAGAGATGGAAGAAGAAACGTCTAAAGGAAGCCCAGCTTTTTAATCTGAACACACCGTCTAGCCAACTTTGCCCTTCATGCTACATTAACCTGGTTGGCTCAGGGTGTCGACAGCCGAAAATCGTGACATAGGTTAAAAAGGGGCGGAGCTTGGATGAGGTGATTAGGGCTGCCATCTTGACTTCCGACTTAGTAGGGTTTTAAGATTTGTGGACTTTTAACTTGCAGAATTCCTAGCCTAGGGGTAGGCAACCTTGGCTCTTTTATGACTTGTGGACTTCAACTCCCAGAATTCCTGAGCCAGCCATGGCTGGCTCAGGAATTCTGGGAGTTGAAGTCCACGAGTCATAAAAGAGCCAAGGTTGCCTACCCCTATGCGGCAGCCTAGCCAAACAAAGTATAGTGGTTTGCTTGATGTTGGTTGCCCTGCTGGCTAGCTTTCCTCTCTGGTCCGGCTGACCAGGGATGGTTGGAGTTGTAGACCTCCGTGGTTAGCTTTAACCAGGGTTTATAAACAAGGCATGGGCTGGCTTGGAATATGGCACGCTAAGCTGGACTCTCATGGCAGACACCATGTGCTCAGGAAGACACAAGGTTTAGCCTCAATGCTGGACGTGAACTGGGTTGGGGAGACCTTGTGAGAAGAACTCAAGGGAAATTTGACTTCCTCCAGTGTCAACATGTTGGACAGCTGCGATGGAAGCTGGAGACCAGGGCAGGAGAGCTGGTGGCTCAGGGTTTATCCATTTGTGCCCAACATGGCACAAATGGATGGGGTGTGAGAAGCTGGTGGGACTCCACAGAGCAAAGTTCCCCAACCTTTTTGAGTTGCGCGCACCAGCCAGCCACTCACGTGGCCCGGTTGGGAATAGACTATGGACCGGTAGTAGGCTCCAGACCACCGTTTGGGGACCTCTGTCATAGAGGACATCTCTATGGACCTTGGAAAAAGTGCAAAGAAGAGCAACTAAGATGATTAAAGGCCTGGAGACTAAAACATACGAAGAACGGTTGCTGGATTTGGGTATGGCCAGTCTAGAGAAAAGAAGGACTTAGGGGGGACATGATAGCAGAGTTCTGGTATTTGGGGGGGCTGCCACAAAGAGGAGGGGGTCAACTTATTTTAAAAAGCGCCTGGAGGCAGGACAAGAAGCAACGGATGGAAACTAACCAAGGAGAGAAGCAACCTGGAATTAAGGAGAAACTTCCTAACAATGAAGACAGTGGAACAGCTTGCCACCAGAAATCGTGGGTCCTTCATCAGTGGAGGTTTTTAAGAAGAGACTGGGCAGCCACTTTGTCTGAAATGATCAGAGGGTCTCCTGCTTGAGCAGAGGGCTGGACTAGAAGACCTCCAAGGTCCCTTCCAGCTCTCTTCTGATTCTAAGATTCTTCCCTTGGTTTAGCTTGTGTTACGGGGTCTCCTGAGGGGTGTGTTTCTGTGGGGCAATTTAGGCAAGGCCAGATCTGTGGGGGAGGGGGAACTCTGGAACAGAACCTCTGAATTGACTCTTCCGAGGGAGAAAATCCGTGCGCGCGTGCGGCGGGTTGTCGATTCGACAACAGGCTTCTCTTTGCTTCGTTCTTTATTGCCATTGATTTCCATTTAGTCTCGCTGGATTGTTGTGGAGTTTCCCCATCTGGCTGATCAATTGAATTGATTTCCTGGCAGTTGAAGTGAGGAGAGAGGAAAAAGCCGCGGACGAGCGATCGGGGTTCCCGTATTTACACCTCCGCACGTGTGCGCGCACCGCACTCGGCAACGGCCTGGTGCCGCTCGCGCGCTGGGAAGTCCTGCTTCGAAAGTACACCGTAGCGGAGGCCCCCAATTTACAATGGTTCGTTTAGTGACGGTTCAAAGGTACAACGGCGCTGGGAAAAAGGGGGACGTGTGACAGGTTTTCACAGGGAGGACCCTTGCAGCGTCCCCACGATTGTGGGATCGAAATTCAGACACTTGGCAACTGTTTCGGACTTACGACGGTCACAGTGTCCTGGGGTTTGTGTGATCCCCTTTTGCGACAGGCAAAATCCATGGGGGAAGCCAGATTTATTTAACAACCAGGTTTACTAAAAGAAGGCGAAGAAGGGAAGAGGGAGAGGTGAAGGAAAGGATGGAGAGGAGAAGAAAGGGAAGAAGAGGGAGAGAAAAGGAGGAGAGGAAGAAGGGGAGGAAGAAAAGGGGAAGACGGAGAGGTGAAGGAAAGGATGGAGAGGAGAAGAAAAGGAAGAAGAGAAGAAGAGAGGGAAGAAGGGAAGAGGAGGAAGAGTAGAGAAGGAGAAGGAGAGTAGGAGAAGGAGAGGAGAAGGGTGGAAGAAAAGAAGAAGGAGAGGTGAAGATAAAGATGGAGAGGAGAAAGTAGAAGAAGAGGCAAAGGAGAAGAGGATCAGGTGAAGAAGAGCAGGAGGAGGGAGAGGAAGAAGAGAAGGTGGAAAGAGGAGGAAGAGGGAAAAGAAGGGAAGAAGAGGAAGTAGAAGACGGAGGAGAAGAGGAAGAAGGGAAGGAAAAAAGAAAGAAAGAAGAGGGAAGAGAAGGCAGTTGTAAGTGAACAGAAATTGCTCAAGATGAGAAGGGGAGACCCAAATCTAACTAACAAAAAAAAAAACTAACTAAAATGGGAGAAAACTCATTTAACACGTCTCGCTTCGCAGCAGAGATTTTGAGCTTGATTGCGGTCGTATGTTGAGGACTAGAAAGATATAAGGGAAGGGGGCTTTTAGGCTTTCCATAGTATGCAAATCAGGGAAGGCTGGATGGCCTAGTGCAGGGGTAGGCCACCTTGGCTCTTTTATGACTCGTGGACTTCAACTCCCAGAATTCCTGAGCCAGCATGAGGGAAACTTTGGCCCCTTCATGACTTGTGGACTTCAACTCCCAGAATTCCTGAGCCAGCCTGGCTCAGCTTGGAAACCTCTCCCTTTCCCCTCAGCGTGGCTGGCTCAGGAATTCTGGGAGTTGAAGTCCACCAGTCATAAAAGAGCCAAGGTTGCCTACCCCTGGCCTAGTGGGTAAATCAAGGTGGGGGAGGTGGCAATGTACAGGTAGTCTTCGACTTACGACCACAATTTGAGCTCAAAACTTCTTGTCGTTAAGTGAGACATTTATTCATTGAATTTTGCCCCGTTTTACAACCTTTCTTCCCTCAGCTGCAAAGCGAATCTCTGCAATGGATAGGGTTAGCAAGCCTAAGTGAATCTGGCTCCCCCATGGACTTTGCCTGTCGCAAAAGGGGATCGCACGAACCCCGGGGACACTGCGACCGTCGTAAGTCTGAAACAGTTGCCAAGCGTCTGAATTTTGATCCCCACGATCGTGGGGACGCTGCAACCGTGAAAACATGTCACAAGTCACCTTTTTTTCCAGTGCCGTTGTGCCTTTGAACGGTCACTAAATAAACCGTTGTAAGCTGAGGACGACCTGTATTAAGAAGCTAACATTTAAACCCCGATAGGCCTCAACACGTAGTAACCTGCTAGCATCCATCAAGGGCCAGGAAGGCTTCAAAAAGCCAAAGCAATTGAGAATGTTTGTTCAAATGAAACAGGATTTGGAAAAGAAGAACTTGGGGGCAATATGCTAATTATGGTAAAATGTCCTTATTGTTAACTGGAAATTAGGGGAAAAAATATGCTGATTGCTGGTAGACAGTGCTGATGCCAGCTAAGCCATGTTGGCTAAATTAAGGTAACCTGGATAAGGTCACAGGGTGACCTAAACAGAGTTGGCTCAGGGTGGGCTTACAGAGAAACAACTACAGTCAGTCCTTGAATTACAACGGTTCATTTAGTGACTGAAGTTACAAATCCACTGAAAAAAGGGACACGTCTGTTTTTCCTTCTAGCGTCCCTCGGGGTCACGTGATCAAAATCCCGAAGCTTGGAAACTGACATGTCCTTGTGACAGTTGCAGCGTCCCTCGGGGTCACGTGATCAAAATCCCAAAGCTTGGAAACTGACATGTCCTTGTGACAGTTGCAGCGTCCCTCGGGGTCACGTGATCAAAATCCCAAAGCTTGGAAACTGACATGTCCTTGTGACAGTTGCAGCGTCCCGCGGTGGCGCGATCCCCTTTTGCGACCGCCTGACAAGCAAAGTCAACCGGGGAGGGGTAGCCAGATTCGCTTAACGACCGCGTGACTCCCTTAACAGCTGCCGTGATTTGCTTAACAACGGCGGGAAGAAAGGCCTTAAAATGGATCGCAATTCACTTAACAACTCAGGAACATCAATTTTGGACTCCCTTGTGGTCGTAAGTCGAGGATTGCCTGTATAAAAATGATTCTGCTTAGTGGGCGCGATCGCTCCGTGGTCTTCCTTCCGCTAGTCCTCGACTTAACGACCACAATTGAGCCCAAATGTTCCATCGTTTAAGTGAAACATTCGTTTTGCCCCCGTTTTACAACCTTCCTGGCCTCAGTTGTTAGGCGAAGTTACTACCCCGGTTGTTAAGTGAATCTGGCTCAAACCCCCCTCCCCCCATTGACTTTGCATGTGGGAAGGTCGCAAAAGGGGATCACGTGACCCGGGGACACTGCGACCGTCATAAGTAGGAGCCAGGTGCCAAGTGGCTGAATTTTGATCACGTGAACGCGAGGAGGCTACAGTGAAAAACGGTCACTTTTTTCAGTGCTGTTGTGACTTTGAACGGTCACTAAGCGGATCGTTGCAAGCCGAGGACTACCTGTGAAGTCTTTTGTGAACCTCGTGTGTGTGTTTTCATTCACACCAGGCAAAACCAGCTTTCTGGCAGAACGAGACGTGTTTATTCAAAAGGACATCGAAAGGGAACGTAAACACCACCAGCTAACTAAGGAGTAGCTGTTACTCCAGGACCCGCTTGCTCCTTGGGTAACCTACTCTTCACTTCCACGCAGTCTCTGGGAACGAGTTGAGTTCTTCGACGTGTTGTACAACGGCCCCAGTAGGCAGCCTGTAGGAAAGGCGTAGCCTCATCCGGAGAGGGATCTGGGTTCAAGAAACAAGAAAAGAGGCGTAACGTCACATCTCTGCGCTAACCAAACGCTTGGAGAATCGAAACGGATCCCAGCGGAAGCCAAAGCAACGTGTTTTATACTGTACAGGCGAGTCCTCCACTTACGACGAGTTAGTTAGCGGCCATTTGAAATTACAACAGGCCTCCCTAGGGCAGTTTACGTGACAGATTTGAAGTTACGACAGCCGAGTCTCCCCTGCAGTCATGTGGTTGGGTTTTTTGGTGTCCCGTGATCAGATGACGGTAGTGTAGGTTTTGCTCTTTGTTTATATACCGGAATCTAGATAATCAATTCCTTGGTTAGGGAACCACCAGGAAGGCATTCCCACCATCAGTGACAGGGCAAGCCACTTGTAGGTAAATAAAGAGCAAGCCCTGATGATGTTGCCTAGTTGGGTGATGAAATGTCGGCAGGAAAACTACCAAGCTCAGAGGACTCCACAGTCCTGCTCCTCCTCCTCCTCTTCCTCCTCCTCCTCCTCCTCCTCCTCCCCCCATCCCCCGTCTCTTCTCACACTGATGATGTTCCCTAGTTGGGTCATGAAATGTCTGCAAGGAAAGCCACCAAGCTCAGAGAGCACCAAGGGCCCCACAGTCTTCTTCTTCCTCCTCCTCCTCCTCCTCCTCCTCCTCCTCCTCCTCCTCCTCTCTGCAAACCCCACTCCCGTCTAGCACTGATGAGGATACCTAGTTGGGTCATGAAATGTCTGCAAGGAAAACCGCCAAGCTCAGAGCACCGAGGGCCCCACAGTCCTCCTCCTCCTCCTCCTCCTCNGAGAAGCAGATTTGGAGCCGATCTCTGAAGGAGATCACAGGGTGTTCTTTAGCAAGTCGATCTCTCCGGTCCTCTCCTCGTCCTTACCTTCTTGGGGTTCAACACTCGAATGACTTGGGTGACGGGGGAGCCGCCCTGGCTCGGAACGGTAGAGCTGCTGGGGGCTAAAAGTTCCACCTGGAAAGACTGGGAGGAGGAGGAGGAGGAGGAGGAGGAGGAGGAGGAGGAGGAGGAGAGGAAGGTCAAACCACGTGGGAGAAGATGAGGAGGGAGGAGAGAAGGAGAGGGAGAGGATGATGAAGAGGAGGAGAAGAAAAGAGAAGAGGGAGAGGTGAAGGAAAGGATGGAGAGGAGAAGAAAGGGAAGAAGAGGGAGAGAAAAGGAGGAGAAGAGGAAGAGGAGGAGGAGAAGAGAGGATGGAGAGGAGAAGAAAGGGAAGAAGAGGAAGAGAAAAGGAGAAGAGGAAGAGAAGGAGAGGAAGGAGGAGGAAGAAAAGGAGAAGAAGGGAAGAGGGAGAAGGAAGAAGACAGAAAGGAAAGAGGAGAAGGAGTAAAAAGGGAAGAAAAGAGGAGGAAGAGTAGAGAGAAGGAGAAGGAAAGAAAAGGAGAAGGAGAGGAGAAAGGGGCGGAAGAAAAGAGAAGAAGGAGAGGTGAAGATAAAGATGGAGAGGAAAAAGAGTAGAAGAGGCAAAGGAGAAGGGAAGGATCAGGTGAAGAAGAGCAAGAAGAAGAGAAGAAGAGAAGGAGGAGGAGGAGGAGGAGGAGGAAAGAGGAAGAAAGGGAGGAAGAAGAAGAGAGGAAGGGGAAGAAGAGGAAGTAGAAGACAGGGAGGAGAAGTGGAGGAAGAGGGGAAGGAAAAAAAGAAGAGGAGAAGGGAAGAGAAGGCAGTTGTAAGTGAACAGAAATTGCTCGAGATGAGAAGGTGAGACCCAAATTTAACTAACAAAAAAACATGTTTCTTTTTCTTATTTCTCCTCCTCCTCCTCCTCCTCTTCCTCCTCCTCCTCCTCTTCCTCCTCGTCCTCTTCCTTCTCCTCCTCCTCCTCCTCCTCCTCCTCCTCCTCCTCCTCCTCCTCCTC